ACTTCATTTTTTAAAAAGAAATGAGCGCTTCCTTGAATTAGATAGAATGATGGGAGGACACAGAAGCAAAAATGATTTGTCAAATAGGAAATACGTAGATCACAGCACCTACAATCAAAATATGACATTAAATTAAGTATTTTTAAAATCCTATTTAGCCTATATTCTGAATGGCAGTATCATTAGATAAAAACAGATGCCTATAATTGGTGGTGGAATTTTATGAAATGATGTCTTCACCAACATTTAGGTTTGCTGATTGGTCTTGGGGTGAACCAGACTGAACTACTCCCCGTGCACATTCTTCATGCCAACAATGGTATCCTCATTCTCCAAGTTCCTATCTGTTTAGTGTTTCAGGAGGCTATTTTCTAAAAGGCAGTTTAGTAACTGCAAAGGAAAAAAGTACTTTCTGAAGTATTCAACTTAATCTCCAACACGACTTACTTCTTGGCAATCCCATATTTACAATGTCCTTTTTTTTTTTTTCTTAGAGTTTGGTGAAGTAAATCACAACCATCTTTTTCTTGAGGGCCTGACGTGTTCCCTCGTCTTGGGCAATGAGGACACCTCGGTAACTTGCGCCTTCTTCCTCACCTTGGCCATTATCGAGCTGCGGTTCCCACGTCACTTACCACCACAACAACCATTCCCTTTACTTCCCTGGTGTGTGCACTCTTCTCTTCTTAGATCAGTTCCTCGTGTTGCAATTTCTAGAATATGACCTTTATGTATTTGCTTTTTCATAAGATGCCTTAAATCCCTTTTGGGAAGAGGTGGTGTGTAAATGGGTCAATCTGCACTGACAGACAATTAACAGGATCAATAGGTCTAGTAGTGTATGGAACTCAGTGGCTCTAAACCCAGTCCAGAAAGTCACTTACTACTTCATTTTACCTGTGCAACAGGTGAACAGGTGAACACTCCCTTTTCACCACCTTTAGTAGAAGATATCTTAGTATCTTCCCAATTTATAAATTTTTATGGAACAGCTAACAAATATTCCTATGGAATCACGTTCTGAAATATTTATTTCATCCCTTTCTGTATCGTGTTTTGTGACTAGTGTTTTCTAATTCCGAAGCCTTTACTGAATCCCGGATACAGGCGAGGAGTACTCACGCGCACTATTCTGTGAATTTAAGCCATTTGGAAGTTTTGATCTAAGCCCAAAATTAAGTAGAATATGCTGAAGATAAAAAACATAATACAACAAATCCTAGTGTTTACATTTTGGGAAATACCCTAGTGTATAATGGTGGTTACACTAAATGCTTTTATTAAAGCAAGGTCTCTTAAGAATGTCCTCAGACAATATGTTTCCCTTTTATATTTTATAAACGTTCAATTCTTTTCTATCTACAAGTATAGCACAAATATAAACGTGTAGTTATATAACGTATGTATGCACATGTATACACACATTATGTGTGTGTGCAAACATAACATGTATGTTATATATATGTTTTCTATATAACACTTATATGTTAAATAAGGGGTCCTGGTGGCACAATAGTTAAGTGCTCAGCTGCTAACTGAAAGGTTGGTAGTTCTAACCCTTCCAGTAGCTCTGTGGGAGAAAAACCTGGCAATGTGCTCCTGTAAATATTACAGCCAGGAAAACCCCATGGGGCAGTTTTACTCAGTCATATGAGGCTTCTATGAATTCAAATCAACTCAACAGCACCTAAAACCAACAATACATGTCACATATATACACGTATAAAAGACTTATTGTTACATACAACATATAAATATATAGCACACATGTATCGTATACACATCTTACATAAGAAACACATATATGTAACATACATATATTAACATGTCTATGACACGTGTGCACACGTACACAACACAGTAATATGCATGTCACACATATACGTGTGTTAGTTATATATTGTTATCCATGTACATCTCACACACGTTACAGAGAGAGAGAAAGAAGCACTGATCTCCACGCCTGAGAGTTATCTTAACTCCATCCTGTGACCACAGGTTCAAGCCCAGACTCTGGCTGGCTTGCCAACAATCCATGCTATTGATCATAGGTTATCTGAGCCATAAAGCATAAGAACACAACACTGAAGAAAAAATAATTTAAATCTTCTACTGACACAGGCGAGCAGCAGCATCTTTACATAAAATGACTATAAATAATTGTGTAAGCATGAAGGTCTATAATTATTTATATTTGCTGTAATCAATTTATTTTCAGCATTTTAAAAGGAACGTCGTTTTTAAGTACTGCATTATCTCACCTTGACATTGATCCATTTCTTAGGATTTTCGTCTCGGAAACGTTGATGTCCATAAGAATCAGCGCCGTACTTGCTTGATGAATGCATTGACGGCGTGTACTTTTCATCCTTATGGTAGGAAGAAAATGGCAAAAACCTGAAAGATACAATAGTTAGGTGATATTCTTAGTCTTATTTCTAGAGACATGATTTTAAGAAATCAGGATTTGGAGAAGCAGTGTAGTATAGTGAAAATAGTACATAGTTTGGAATCAGAATACTTGAATTCCACTTCAACCTCAACTGCTTACTATCTCTTTCACTAAACTTCTAGGAATATTCATTTTCTATGAGACTGTATTTCCATACAGAGTTACTGTGGAAGGAGCCCTGGTGGCGCAGTAGTTATGTGCTCGGCTGCTAACAGAAAGGTCGGCAGGTGGAACCACCTGTGAAGGAGCAGTGATCAATTTAATATATGTAAAGCACTTAGCATGGAGCCTGGGAAAGAGCAAGTGTCCAGTAAATGATGGGGGTGCTAACAGTGGAAGTAAAAGTAGTGGCAGCTAGTTGTTGAGGCTCTCTTTGCTATTATTATTATCATCGTTATTTTTTATTACTTAGGTATTGTTATGATCAACATGAAAGAAAAGACCAAACTTTTAAAATCCATATACACTCTCACAGAATATCTAAGATTGTGATGCGCTTCTGGTATAATCTGGCGAACTGTTCAAATTCCTCCCCAAAATATGCTGAAAGAAGAATAGAGGAAGAACGAAAGTTATAAATCCACGAGAAGAAAGAGGACAGAGAGGAGAGACAGCACATGAAAACAGCAACAAATGTTTGGCAGATGGAAAGCAGATGAAACAGCCACAACTGAGACAAGAGAGTTAAGAAAACCCAAATTGAGGCACCAAAAGAGAAAGATGCCGTGAGAAATAAGCTGATTTGTCCTGCAGAATCATGGGAAAGTTCGGGACTGAAGTCACCAGCTAGTGCAGAAGAGGAGAGTGAGAAATAAAGCTGAGAAAAACATTAAAAGTCATGTAAGGAGTAATCACATCCTCACACCCTATCCCAGTCCACGCAGCCATGTTGTTAGCTGCCATGAAGTCAGCTTCCAAGTCATGGCGATGCCATGCACAATGGAAGGAAATGCTGCCTGGCCAGGTGCCAACCCTATGATCAGCTGTAGATACATCTTCACTGGCTGATTTTCAGAAGTAGATTGGCAGGGCTTTCTTCCCCATGCAGCCTATTCTCAGAAAAATTTGCACCGAAGAAAGAGCTCTGGTCGTTGGGAAAGTAGAAACAGTGGAAGGCCAGAGTCAGGCACCAAAGGGAACACAGGGATTTCAGTTCCAGGTCTATCTGTCGAACTCTTCCCTAGCATTCCCTAAGTGAATGGCCAAAAAAACCAAACCTATTGCCGTCGAGTCAGTTCTGACTCATAGCAGCTGAACTTAAATCCTTCGGAAGATCAACTGCATTTTCTAGGAAGATACAGAGCGTTCTCAGAGAAAACCCTTCGAATATCAACATTCGAGATTTCTTAATTGAAAGGCTGTATTGTAGTGAAATCTGTGAGTCAAAAAGCCACTCCCACACACAAATGCAGTTTCCAATCTGATTTTTAGAATCATCTATTATAATAATTTAAGACTAACACCAATTCGGGAAAACTGCCAACATGAAGGAAAGACACGAATCTAAACGTACAAGGTAACCTAGTGGAATCAGACATAATGCAAGAAAGAGGAATAAACTCCAGAAATGTTCAATTAATATAATCAAAGAAAATATGGTACCAGTGAAATAAGAACTGGATATTATTTTAAATAAAAGGAACATTTAGAGAAAAAGAGCAAGCTCTGGGAAATTGAAAAAAAATATATAGCAAAATGAAATATTTCGTGAGAGTATTCAAAGATAAAGCCACGGAAATATTACAGCGTGTAGAACAAAAGAAAAAAACATGGAAAACAGGAGAGAAAATATAAGAAGAGAATCATTTCAACAGATCCAACATTAAATTATAGGAGCTCCCAGAAGAAAAAAACATGGACAGGAAACGGGAGGGGATTCCCAAAGGAATACAGTATTACAAAGAAGATCCAGAACCTTCTTCTAGATTAAAAAAATACATTGACTTCCTAAGAAAATGAAGAAAAACATAAAAAATGGGTCGGGGGAGCTGCTGGAAGCTTCTAGAAATTAAAGAATAAATAGGAACAGGAGCAGGCATCAGACTGACATTATACCTCTACAAAAACCCTGCAAGTTAGAAGAGAATGGAGCGATCTCTTAAACATTTTTGAAAGAAAATAATTATCAGCCTAGAATCCTATACCTAGCCAAATTATCAATTAAATGTGAAGGTAAAATAAAGACATTGGTAGACATGAAAAATCAAAAACATTATGTCCCATAATCCTTTCTCAGGAAACTACTGGGAGAATCGTTTTATAGCTGACTAAGGCAATAGAAACCAGGAATGTTACAGAAGAGGAGGAGTCAAGAGGAGAATCAAATAAGACTTTTTTTAAGGGAGGAAGTGTCTGTCATGGGCATCCACTATCTGGCAACCTTTATATAGCAGATTAAAAACACACACACACGCACTGCTATTTTTCTTCATTCATTACTCTCAGTAAAACTGGCATAACAGTAAACACTCTTAGCGAATAGCACTGATTTTGAACTATGAGTGATTCTAATAGAACAATTCTACTAAATCTTTTTATATCATTTACTAAACAAAATTATCCGATATTTGAAGAAGGTACTTGAATTTAAGAAAAGTATCAAACCAGTCTAAGTTCTTAAATTATGATTTGATGTTTTTTGTTTAGATAGTCTTACTCATACATACCTATATAGGATATTATAAAACATAGTAAGACTATTATGAAGGAGTACTTTATCAAATATGATTCTGTGTAATAATTTGTACATTTGTTCTGCTGAGAAAAAATAGTCTGAAATTAAGACTTGGAGAAAACAAGGTTGAGGTTCAAAACACATTCATTGAGTCATTCCCATATTTCAATATTTCCACAGTACCATCATATTTATCTCAAGAAAGGTTTTGTTTAATCTCAATTCAATTGAAAATTTACTTTTGGCATTGTGTTCATAAATTTGCTGTAAAAATAATAAATACAGGAAAATTACTGTTATCTCATCCATTTTCACACCTCTTTACAATTCCTTTTTAATGTCTCTTACTAAGCTCCTTTTTGCCCTGGTGGCAGAGTGGCATTCTCTACTACTGTTTAAAATAAAAGCAAATAAACACAACATGAAGCTTAGAATGATACCAAGTTACAGAAGCACGCATTACATGTGCTGTTGGGAAAACGGCTCTCATATAAGACAAATTACGGTCCTTCCAACACTAATTTGCACATGGGATGGGCGTCCCACACACAAAAATTAATGCAGCCCCAGTGTCCCTGAGTATACAAAGGGGGTGCAGTGAGCTGGCTGCTGCACTGACAGTTTTTATCACTTCTGAACTGCATTTTAATAGTACATTCTTTTTTGTGTCTGAGCAAAATTTGCTTTCTCAGGGGACTGGTGGGCTGAGAAGACAAGACTGAAAGACTAGGTATTTCCCTGCCCATGAATCAATTTTCCTTTCATTGAGTCATAATATTTCATTAAAGTAACACTGGATGCATATGCTTAAGTGTATGTCTGTAGGTGTATATGTATAGCTACGTATAGGTAGATTGATAGATATTAAAAATATTTAGATGTTCTATAAATACTCTAAATAAAATTTATCTTCAAATTAGAATGAAATCATTTAATTCTCACATAGGAGTTTCTTGATAAAAGTGAATTAGCTATGAAAACACTAAATATCACTTTTGGCTTATAATCAAACTTTTAAAATACATCTTATACCAATTTTAAATCTATTCTCAGATGTATTTTATACTTGCCAGTCAGTAGTTAATAATTAATTACTTTTTAAATATATATTATATCGATTTTAAATCTACATTCAGATGTATTTCATGCTTGCCAGTCAATATCTTTCTTTTCAATTAACTGAACATCTTGTTACAAAGTAGGAAGATATGGATTTGCCCATTATTTTTTATATCCTAATTAAAGATACAGATCTGGCAGAAATTCTTAAATACAACATAAATGTGTAATGATATTTACAAATACATTATTTGAAGTCTGGGCAGTTAAAGAAGAATTGGTAGAGGTCTTAAGAAGCAAAAATTTTAATTATCCTCAGGAAAAAGAGGTCCATTGCAAATAAATTATGGAGTTTATAAACATTCAATATTCATATAATTATTATCATTTTCCAAAGAAGAGGCATAACAAATTACACGTATCTTTTTTTTTTTTCCTTATAAATCTCTCTCATTTTTTCAATTTTCTTATAGTCTTACTACTGTCACTTGTAATTCCAGGTCTACCTAAAACTCATTTATTTCACTGACAGATGATTCAAATCTTCAGATGGTGAACTTCTACTGCCTATTGATTCAAGCCTAAATTCTTCAGCTCAGCTGCCTACGCTTTCTAGAATGCACTTAATCTATTCAGTCTCCTACCACTGGCTACTTATAATTCTGTTGATTTACCTCGCTTTCTTCTCCCATCCTACCTCTCTGCCTTTGCCCACGCTACTCCACCTGAAATGCTGATTCAGACACTAGTCATTCTTCTGAACCCGTTTAACACGAAGCTTTCCCAGGCAATCTACCCACTTCAACCCACACTGATTTATTGTCAGAATATTTATTCATTAACAAACATTAAATAAACCACTTTTATGTGCTAAGCAATTTGAAAAATACTGGGATATAAGGATGGAAGGTGCAGTCTACCTACCTAAAAGGAATTCACCTTCTAGTGGGGAGGGAGGGATGAGGCAGTAAACACAGGTAGAATGTGCTAAGTTCTGTGATGTATACATCACAACAAGCTATTAGTGCACAGAGGAAAGTTTGTATCTGTATATGCATTTGTGTATGGGGTGTGGTGGGTTATGGGCAGGCAGTTAACAGGGTGGGACATGGAAATTATCAATAAAACTCTTCCCAGACCACGTATGCCCGAGCTGAGTATTGAAGAAGTAGAGTTAGTCACGTTAAGAAGCTGGTGAAGGCTACTTTAGAC